GCTGAATAATGAACTCGGTTCAGTTTGGATATAAGTAAACAGCTCGATTGGAAATATACAAAATGTATGATGGAAATAATTTCGATGAGAAATCAATAAAACCGCCTTAGGGTAATGGTGGTTCRGGAATCTTAACAACAAACTTACCGCATTACGGCCTTTATCTTTAAGCTTAAAACACCGTATTCTATCTAAAACCTCAACAACCTCTTTCTGCGATCTTCGCATTTCCTCGGTATATCTATCAACAAGATTGATTGGAATACCCCACTTTCCAACCTGATGAAGATAAAAAAGGTATAATAACATTATTCTCTAGGATTAAAATTACCGCAAAAATCGCATRTGTAAACGGATCATAACGTTTCATTTTGGAATCCTCCATTTTTGTTTTGTTTGCTTTTTTTTGTCCACAAATTTACGCGTCCACACGCTCCCATTTAGGGTTTGCGTTGATGCAAAAGAAATATGACRCAAAATTTCTCGCCATCTTGTGGACAGGTATTGATCTAAGTAGAACTCTGAAGCTTTTACGTCATATACCGTATAMACAATGCATTGTAGGATTTCCTTTGTTTTCGACATATACTAACCCCACAATGCACTGCAAATCACGTTGGTGACTTAAAAGATTCAGAAATTTATTAAGGGCGCTTTCCATTGAAAAAGAACTGGCCGACCAGATCGCTCTATCTAGATGTAACTCAAGTGCTTTTGGTCGACATTGTTCAATTATTCTGTCAATATGCTACTACTATAACTACTAGTTTTCTGACCGAACATGAATGATGGCTTTCTCTTTGTGTCTGGCCAGTCAGTTCTGACCAATGGAAAGCGCCTCAAAAACGCTTTGTGAACGCCCACTTCTAAATGTTCTAAATGAAATGTTTCTGTTTGCACGATAGTTGTTTATAATTACTTTCATTTGCATTGCTTAGCTATGTCCCAGAGAAAATTTACGATGTGCCGCGACGCCATTTTCTACATGAAAGAATGATGGAAGTTGTAATCGTTTTTGTATTCT